GCGCTCCCCCGCCCCCCGCTGCACTGCTGACCGGGAGCCGCTCGAGGTCAGCCCCTCCTGCCCCAGACCTGACACCCCCCCAAAGCTGGAGCCCCCTCTTACGCCCCAAAGCTCTCCTCCTCAGCCCCACCCCGGAGCCCACACTCCAGTCAAATTAAGTCAGGTCACGGCATCGACAATTGTCTTCAACCGGGTAATGAGAAAAAAAAAAGTTTGACCATCACTGGCTAAGGGGTGTGAAAAGTTTCACACGCTGAGCGCCAGAGTTAGGTTGCCGTAGCCACTGACCGAGAGAGGGCTGGGCAATGGACTCCTTCCATCAACTTAGTTTCCAGTTCTTGGGAAGGCAGAAAAAAGATCCCTTCTGTCATTGTAGGGAGCGTCTACACTGCAGTGGCCCAGCTGTAGCAGAAAGACACTCCTTGAATAAAGGGTCGAACAAAGAGACGAAAGAGATGCCGCTGAGAGCAAAGCGAGAACTCTGGAACAGAACGCTGCGGATGATCAATTCCAAAACTCCAGGGAGTGTTCCAGGCATCAATTGGGGAGGGGAGAACCCTATTGATTTTGGTGAAAATCAGAAAACTGGCAAGGGGGACGTGAGGGACACATGGCATCCCAGTAGCAGGCTCGGCCGTTTCAACCAGGCCCGTAACAGTCGACAGATCAAAGAACCGGCTGATGGTGCCGTTCCAACCTGGCGCACCTCCTACCTCGGCTCTGCCCAGGACACAGTTTAACAAGCAGGCGCCATGAATGACAAGCCTCCCAGACAGAACAAGGAAAAGAAAGAATGATGGGGGAAGAGACCCCTGGGGGGCACAGAACCCTGGCACGGTGCGGAAATAGGGGATACAGAACCATTGCCATGATGAAGAGGAAGGGAACGCGAGGCCCAGGCAGCGGGAAGGGGGAATAAGGGAGCACACGGAGCTCTTGGCATGGAGGTTCAGTGGGAGAAAAAAAGATATTGGGGGAGGAAGAGATATTGGGGAAGGCTATCCAGAGCTGCTACTATGTAGGGCACTGAGCCCATGGCAAGAGGATGAGGGTTACAGGGAGTCCCTGACAGAGGGGGGAGGGGAGAATGGGGTCCACGGAGCAATGGGGGAGAGGAATGGAGGGATGCAAGGAGCCCCAGGGGACCAGCCAACAGAAGCAACAAAGTGAGCGACTCTCTTGTATCGGTATCACCTAGCTCCGTGGGGCAAAGCAAGTCTTCATGTGGGACACAGACAATTATGTCAATGACCTGCCATCAGTTACTTCTGACACGTAAGGCTAAGTCTACTCTGGCACCTTACAGCTGGAACTTTCTGGCTCACACCCCCCTAGAGCGCTGTAAAGCACCCGTGTGAACCAGCTACCGCCCTGAGAGCCCTGTTCGCTACTCCCCGCACGGAGGTAGTTTACACAGAGCGCTGGGAGAGCTCTCTCCCAGCGCTTGTACCCCGGCCACACTTCCAGTGTAAAAGCGCTGCCACGGCTGCATTTTACGTGTTGACTGCAGGGGTGTGTCTAGACTACAGGGTTTTGTCGACAAAAGTGGACTTTTGTTGACAAAACTATACCTCAGCAGTTTTGTCGACGTATGTAAACCTCATTCTACGCGGAATAACGCCTTTTGTCGACAGAGTTCGGTCAATAGAAGGCATGATTGCATCTACACTGTCCTTTGCGTCCACACTGTTATGTCGACAAAGCGGCTTGCTTTGTCTGGATGTAGTCTAGACGCTCTTTGTCGACAGAAGCTTTGTAGACAGTATCTGTCGACAAAACTTCTATCGACAAAACCCTGTAGTCTAGACATAACCATTAACCTTTCATATCCGGGGTAACTGGTAAGCATCACCCTAAATGGGTAATGCTTACCGGCCCTGGTTAACTAGTAGGAGCTGCTCCAAACCCACAGAAGGCCCACTGCAGATCAGGGCTACTTCCATGTTCAGAGCAGCCATGGGGAGCTCCACAGGCAGAGGCTGGGAGCCAACAGAGCCAGCCCCAACCCCAGCTGGGCTGAAGTAGTCCCCAGCTTGGATCCTGCTTTAGCTGGTTGACTGGTTAAATGTTAGGTCAACCTAACGCTTAACCGGGATTTTACATCCCTAGTGTAGACAAAGCCTACAGTTCTGAAAAGGAAATGAGCATTCCGTCACCAGTCGGTCGCAGGCCTTGGCATCCATAGACATGGCAGATATTTAGTCTTTCTGCGGTGATGAGCTATATCCTCATCTAAGCTGGAAAGGGGATGTTGTCAAGCTGTACACGGAGGACCAAATTCTGCTTGTAGACCAGTCTAAATCTGGGCTAATTTCTTTGGCTGCTGCAGGCTTATGCTGGTATAAGCCAACAGAATTTGGCCCAATGCACCCATGAGCTTGTCTTTGTCACCAACAGCCCTCTACACCATTAAAATGGGAAGGCTTCATACACTTAACTTACTTGTCAGCATTAGGGCTGTTTGTTGACCTTGGCTTTCTCTTGGCCAATAAAATACAACAGAAAAACAATCAATTCCTGTTTGGTTTTTGGTCTATTTCTCACTGCCAACATAGACTCATAGACTTTATGACTCATAGACTTTAAGGTCAGAAGGGACCATTATGATCATCTAGTCTGACCCCTTGCACAGTGCAGGCCACAAAATCTCACCCACCCCTCTTAGAATAATCCTCTCACCTGTGTCTCAGATATTGAAGCCTTCAAATACTTTGAAGGCCCCAAGAGAGTCCTCCAGCTGTGATCTGTGCCCCATGCTACAGAGGAAGGCGAAAAACTTCCAGGGTCTCTGCCAATCTACCCCGGAGGAAAATTCCTTCCCGACCCCACATATGGTGATCAGCTAAACCCTGAGCATGTGGGCAAGACTCACCAGCCAGACATCCAGAAAGCTCTCTATAGTAACTCCTATCATCCCTCCATTGACCTATTTCCCACTGATAATGAATGGTCAATTAGTTACCAAGATCATGTTCTCAAACCATCCCCTTATGGCAGCAATGCTTGGGATGCAGATTCTAGAGAGATTGTTTACCAACTTGGTTTTATAAAACTGTTCCCCTAAAACTTTGGGATTGAACTGAACCAAGTAACTGTTTAAATAAATGTACCTGCGTGATATATATACATAATACCATACCATTTTTCAAAACTGTGTTTAAAAATTACAGAACCTGTCACTGTTTCATAACTGTGCTAGCGTCCCTGCAGGAAGATGCTATTTTGATGATCTTCCACAGGCTTGGGAAGAACAGGGAGACACGGGCAAGCCAGCTAGTCTTTGTCTAATTCAACCTTCAAAAGGAATCCTGATTTTGTTTTTGCAAGAGAGCTTTACTGCAATTCTGGAAGTCTTTTGCTTCCCTTGCGCATTCCAACCACAAACATTTTTTCCAGTATGTCAACACCAGACATCAGATGCCATCTTCCTATATTATATTCTAGAAAAAAAACAAATTAACCATCTGTTAAAGGAACAGGCTTTTTGAGAGCACCATGTAGACTGGCTTCTCTACTGCACCACAACTTCTCCCTTGAATTCCATCTGGCAGTGAATATTTCTCTGCATCTAGAGGAGATATCTGTGGGGGGAGGGAGTATTTTTAGAAGGGGGGAGGGGGACAAGAGTACAGATTGACCTTGCTAAGCCATTTGATGACCGAGCTTTAACAGCTGTGGCCCCTTCAGTGAAAATACCTTTAAACAAGCTCTTTGAAGTAAGCTCAGGCAATGACTAATTTGAACAGCTGCCTCCAGCCTTTCATTGAGTCACTGGGATATTAGTCCAAGAAGCTGATCAGCCAAGCAGGACGCCTGTGGCTGAAGCAGAAGACCGCCAATGTCTGGGGATAACACCTCAGATCACGAGTTTCCCACGCCAGCAGGTGGCCTCTCTGTGCCTCTCGGCCTGGCGGGGAGGGGGGGAGAGAGATAAAAAACTATAACAGCAGCTTGTTCCACACTGCACCGCTGGGCTCGGAACAGAGCGCAACCCACACACCTCCAGCCGGCTGCGTGAGACCAATGAGACGATTTGAATGGATGTTTTGCAAGGCGGGAGATCCCCAGTGGAGAGTACACAGAGAAAAAAAAAAATCACACTCAGACACGCAAATACAATGCGGCCCCCTCTGCAAAGGCTGCGCTTTCTGGGTAAAAGCAGATCTCTGCCGTCCCAGGATGTCACCCATGTGGCAGGCTGTACGGCAGAGACTGCTATGTTTTGGCAGTCACTTGTTCCCCTGCCTCATCGCCTCACCTCGATTTTATTGGTGGCGAATAACCTCAAAGGGCTTTTGTTCCCTGTGCTGTTCCGCTTGCTCAGTGGCAGGATGTCAATGATCAGAGCGGCTCTCGTCTGACTTCACAGGAGCAACCGGAGAAGGGAACAAGCAGCAGAACACTGGGGATAAACTAGGAAAGCCTTAATTTCTCTCTCAGGCGCTCACATGCACCTAATTCCCTGCACCCTCCATGGCTCTGTCTCTCCTCCAAAAGCCTGCCCGGCCGTCCATGCCCTCCTTGCACGGTCAGCTCAAAGAGGAAGAGCCGTGGTGCAATTCGGACAGGGCGCACATCAGTGGGTTTCTGTTCCCAGGCAGCAGAGCGTGCAACTCCAGTGCCCCACAGCAAACCTCGAAGAGATCGACACGCAAAGCAAGGTCAGTGCCTTGCTGCAAAACTAGCAAAGCTACCCCGGTCTGAATGAGCAGCTCCACTCAGAAGCCTGAGAACCAAAGCCAAACAGGGCACTGTCTCCCCCAGGCTGTCCTGATGGACTGCACGCCAGCCCCTAAGACCGAGGGGGAGTCGGGTTAGTCTGTAACTTTAAAAACAACACACAGTTCTGTGGCATCTTAAAAACGAACACACAGATCGTTCCACTATGAATAAAGCGTTTCATGCATCTTTAAGTTTAGCAACGTGAACATAAATATCTCCAGCCCTTTGGTTATCTAATTCAAAAGCAATTACTGTCACTATCGCGGGTCATAAATTACCTGCTCTGCCTGGTGAGCCGCGTCAGGAAAACGAGTGAGAGGAACTAGGGAGAACCATCCAGCCGGAGGCAGCTGTCGAGTGGGGAGGAGAGACCAATCCACCAGCAAAGGGCAGATGCCGAGCGCAGTGCGCAAAGCACTTCGGCACCCCACATCCAGTCGCCACCTGAGCTGCCTGCGTGCGTGGATCCTGGTGCCTCCCTCCCCAAATCAGCCACGAGCGAGCACGCCCACACACGCTCTGTTGCTCACAAGAGATTCTCGTCAGTTTCCCCGCCCCGTGAGTTCCAATTAGCAATCGGCGCACAATACAGTCACTGACTCAGCTAATCATTCCTCCCTTTCACTTAAAGGTCAAACGCCAAGGGATTTTTTTTTTTTTTTTTGGCAATGCTAATTTCCGAGCAGACAGCGAGGAGCTCGTCCCTGAGTTACCAAAGGGCTTTGACATTTTAAATCCATAGAGCCTCAGAACACTAAATTGTGGGACGGCGGGGGGGGGTGTCTCTCTGAAAGCATCCCTTCTCCCCTCCCAGCAAGGGGCCATGTGAATCGTGCATCAACAACAAGCCAGGAAGCCCAGCCCTTCCAAACCGTTCAAGCGAGAGGTTAGCAGATGGAGAGTTTTACTCTTCACTCTACCCTCTCGTGGTGTTGGGGGTGGAAATGTGGATTCAAAAGAGCAAGAGGGGGCCCGGAGCCTTGGAAACAGACAGAAATGGTTCATCCAAGCAGGGGTGGGGGACCTTTTTTGGGTTGGGGGCCGCTAACCCACTGAAAAATCAATCAGGGGCTGCATAAAAGTCAGAAGCAACCCCGCACACACATTCCATCACCCCACCCCACCAGAGCCTAGGGGGCCCGGGCTAGCAGATTTGTGGGGCCCCCCCTACACTCTGGGATGGGGGTAAAAAATGAGGAATTTAACGTGTGGGAGTGGGTTGCCAGGAAGAGGGATTAGGGTATGGAGACTGGGCAGAAGGGGGCCCGCAGGGTGTGCCCGCTCCCCAGTGCTGGGGGGGGGAGCCCCAAGCCTTGTGGGCCAGATCCAGGCAAGCTGGGGGCGGTAGGTTCCCCACCCCGATCCAAAGAAAGAAACTGTGAGTTGTTCTTTGAAAATTCGCCACCCTTTTCAGCCTACTTTAGAAACAACCAGTGCAGAACAGCGCCACAGCAGGGGTACGGGACCACACTGCCCTTGCTACACCACTGAGTCCTAGGAAGTCTGAAGGGGTCTTCGGAAAGAGAAAGCCGAGAATCACGGCGACGGAGGAATTCCTACGCCTGACAGCAGAGACGCTGCCGCCTCGAGAAGCCTGTCTGATTGTATTTATGATGGAGACGGCCTCCCAGAAGGCTGTATTGATGAAACGGAGATTTGCTCCGATACAACAGCTAGCCCCTCCACTTCCCTCTCGCGTTCTAGCATCTTCCTGCTCTTTCCATTGCTCTGCTTTGTGCTCTGGTCCCATAGGATAATCCAGCCGCTAGCCGGAGCACTGTGGGTCGCCAGCCAGCAGTAAGCACGGCTACTGGACTGACTTCACGGATAGCCGCAAAAGCCCCAAGCTGCCCCCGGCTGCTGCGGCGAGGGGGAACCTCTTCTCTCGCCACAGCGCGAGGACTTTGCACTAATCAGAGCGGCAGCCGCGGAAGGGCGACGCCCGCTGTCCAAGCCAGGGCCGCGAAGGCTGTCACGCTAGCCCGTTCCGCTCCGGCGCTTCCAGAGCCAGCTCACGCCTGGTTCTCGCTGGGAGCAAAATCACACTCGCTAGGTCGCAGGAAGCGCCCAACTTCCGAACTCGGAATGCGCTCTCCGATAGCAACGCTGCCCTAAAGGGCAGGCGGGGTCCCAGGCTAGCTCACCAAACCGGAACGTAGCTGGAATATTGCACCCGTGCAATGAAACATAGCAGTAATGGTTTGAAGGATGGTGCTGGGGGACAGGCAGGTTTAATTGGAGGAGGAGGAGGAGGAGGAGATTCTGACCCCTGGTTGCCATCTCTCACGTGCAGGCTCTGCAGCAGCTTCTGCAGCCAGCTCTATCCCCACGGGCTCAGCTGCGGCTCTGGCAGCCTCCTTCCCCATCCCCTGGATGCTGGGTTCCCCCCCCCACCCTCCTCCTGAGATTCCACTCACCGGGAGGTAGCGAGCGATCAGTGCAGGCCAGAAGACTCCAACAGAGCAGGGGGCAGCCATGCACACAGCACGGAGAAGCGCTGGTTTCCCCTTCAAAGCACCGCTTCTGTCCAACCGCTGCCTGCACGCCCATCCCCTGCTCCTCTGGAGTCCTCTGCTCCAGCCGGCCCTTGGACCACTTGCTGCTACCTCTGTCTCCTGCCTGCTCCCCCAGGCGGCCTTTTGTTTGCAGGTGCGGATGTTCGTAACTCGGGGAGCACCTGTAGTGCCTTGCTTCTGCAGGGCAGAGACCGGTGACAGCACCTCTGCGCTGGCAGCCCAGCCTCCACTCAGGAGCAGCCGGGACATCAGCAACTCTTCCGTCTAAAGTAAAATCCTTGAAGTCTCCCAAGAGGCAGTGCAACTCCCAACCTCCCATCTGCCAGGCTGATCGCTCCAGAGTGTGACACCGGACAGCACGTTACGCGGAACCCAGGATCTAAAGCCAGCTGCCCATGCACCCGCACAAAGGATCCGGTGGGAAAATTACTCACGTGCGGTCCACACGTGCGATCAAAATCCCTAGGGAACACACGCCCAGACCCTGTCGGCCAAGTTCCATTTCCTTACATTTTTTTATCCTCTGCAACCACTGGTGCTTTAAAACACGCATTGCTTGCTTGGCCACCTGCTCCGCAGGGTGGTTCTCAGCTGTCCCAGAGCTGAGCCAAGGATGACTCAGCACCTAGCCGAGATCTCTGGTGCACGACAGCACGCACGGGAAGGAAAGCCTCGAGGAGCCGCTTCAAAGGGACGAGATGCACACGCACGCCTCACCGCTCACGCACCGCAAGCCGGTTGCAGTTTCAAACACGAGCTGCGTTGAACAGAGCCGGGTCTGCAGCACCAGCCTCCTTCCTGAGCC